CATCAACTGTACGCAATACACCCTGGCTACAATCGGTAAAATTCACAATTGTATAACATAACTACTAACATAACTACACATGTTGTGAAACATGTTCCATATACAGCAACTAAAGTGATGAAATAAAATGGTACGAGCTAAATGACTTGACACGTCAGGTTCATTGTTGAAAACTCTACCAGTAGGTGCAACATGTGTGAACACCACATATCAACTTGTTGTCGTGTCTGGTGCCAAAAGTGTTGGTTTACATTGTCTTTGTGTTGTGCTGTGTGCATTCATCCAGCATTGTCCTGCATTAGCTGCCGTAAAAGAATCATGGAGAATCGACTCCCAAGAACCCCCACATTCCCTTTCATGGAGGAATCATGGAGGAACTCATGGAGGATCAGAATGCTTGGTATAGATCAAACAAGTCCCGGCAAAAACAACTGGAACGACTCCAATGATTCAAAACCAGGCTGCCCGGTGCACCATTCCAAGAAAATGTACGTGTGCAATGCTCCTGAGCATCTGCGCTGCTACTTCGCCAAGCTCATCCTCACTGATGGTCTTGACATGAAGCAAATGCTGCATCAGATTCTTCTCGCAAGCTTCGCACACCAAGTAATAGAACCCAAGCGAGTAGAAACACTCGATGAGTTGAGTGATTTCAGGAAGCCCACTGGAGCTGGCAAGCTGCCACATCTCAATCTCTCGCTCAATAGCGGCTTTTCGCTTTGGGTTGACAACGACCTTTCCCCCATCTTGCCGTGCACGCACATCTGCGATTTTCACCGCAAAACTCTGTTTTGTCTGAAGGTCTGTTGTCAGGCGTACTTGCCCAAAGGCTCCTTCCCCTATTTTCTTGCCCAGCGCATACTTCTGGAAAAATACTTCTGATTCCAGAATGCCATGCTGCGCAGTATGCTGCGCGCTAGCGCAACATCCCATTGTTTCAGCATCTGGTCAAGGTTTGGGCCCAGCAGCTGCACAAGGTGCACTTTCGCTTTGAAAAGGGCAGCACGTGGTGGCCCGGAAACAGCAATTGACTGCTCTGTCGCAACAAAAATCAACTCATACCATTGTCATTGGCGCCGCCTGCGTCACCCGAATTGAGATGAACATGCGGGAGTTTGTGGAATTGCTGCAAACATGATCTTGGTTGGCACAAGATAGCACAAGCTATGGGGGTTTGGGGCTGGGTGAGTTGAGCATGGTCATAGACTTTGCGCACCTTATTTTACGAGGTGACTGGTGACCAATGGGACAGTCGGACCCAAGCGTCGCTACAGCGGCTGCACAGTTGAGCGTGTCTGCTTCAACAATTGCTCGTGAGGCGAGAACGCAAACAACTCAGAGCGCAACATCTCTCTCACCATCTCTTTTTGGCAATGCGAAGAGGAGGGTTGGGAAGTCGGAGCTCCAACATCAACCTGCCGGGTGACCAGAGAAGTTACGCTTTGGACCTTTGGTATGTTAGGCCAGGCACTGAGCGGGCGCAGAACTCGATAGGTTGAAGGCGTGGCGACAGGTAGGGCCGAGGAGGGAATGGTGGCGAGGGGCAGGCCGGAGGGAACGTCTGGGGCACGTGAACAGGAACGGGCAGGTAAACAGGGTTAAGATATCGAGGTTGCAAGTAGACTAGTAGACTTTTTGCATCGTGCTACTGGTTTCACAAAGCGATGCTAGGCAGGGAGCGTGGGACTAGGGCCGCACCGCACACATAGAAGTAATGTCATTGAAATTGCAGTGAGTTCTCTTGAAGCTTGCGCCGGGCATCTTTGTGCTGTCCGACTGGTCAAAAGGCGTGAATCTTGCCATCAGACGTGAACGGGTGCCAGGGTGACTGTCTCTTCCAGCGCCCCACCTCATCTCCCATCACAGCTCCATGCCATCCTGGAACCAAATTCGGCTCTGTTCAGCGCTGCTAAAATTTTCAATACAACCAACTATAACATAAGGCATTCTGATTGTTATCTTTTGTGTTTCTTGAGCGCCAGCATTTCTGGCAAACAACAGAATGTGTGGCTCCAATGCAGCGCAACACTGTTCGGCCCCTTTCTGCACAAAGCCCACGAGCAGGCTGTGACAGTGGCAAGTGTTGTCCAACCCCCATGACATCCTAATCATCCCATGCTGTGAACAAGTCTGACCCCAATCAATCCTCAAAACCAAAAGTTGCCATGAAAAACACATGCATCATTCATGCGGCATGTGCTCTCCATGTATTCGGGAGCCCACAGCAAATGAATTACGCCGCGCTCTCAGTGCTTCCCAGCAGATGCGTGAGCTGGCACAGGCTGTGAAACCAAAAGTTACTGCATCACCAAACGCATATTCAACAAATCAGAAACGGTTGGTGGTGTTCATGCACCTTTGAGTTCGATCTTCACTCCAGTTCCCGCAGTGCCGTCGAGTTTTTTGGCAAATGCACTTCTCCTCGGAGGCTGCTTTTGAATGTCCGTGAATCGAGGCGAAACACTCACCGTGCTTACAAACCTCTTAGGGTCCTGACCATATTCTTCTTAAGCGCCGTGACTGAGGTTTGGTCATCGTACCTCCCGAAAACTAGAAGGACAGTGACCCACCCAATACCAAAGTAGCTTTGACAAACAAATCCGCCTTTGGACACGCTGCCACAAAACACACACACACACACACACATCACTAAAAAGTAATACCCCGCGCCCAAACGACAGCTCGGTAAAAGAAACCTAAAGGTCAAGTACATGTGGCCGTGTTCAAACATGTTAGATTATATAACGAGTGACTAACAAGTTCCAAGACTTCAACTTATATGACCTGCATCAAAGGCCAATATCAAAGCCGGCTCAACGTCACAGGGTGTGTAACAAATGCAATGGCTGGTCGTCTTGGTTTGGTTAACAGCAAAGGCCAATAGAAAGTCAAAGGTGCTTACGGCGGGTACACATCGCAAGAGAATGTGGACGAGCAATTCCATGCCAAAAGTATATAACATTTTACCCCACAGTCCGAACACAATCCACGACCCAAAACGACACACACACAAACGTCCCCAGTGGGGGGGGGCACAAACTAAAGGGTCTTGCGCGACCTGACATTGAAGTTCCAAAGGATTTAAGAACACAAAATTATTCTGGCAAGAGACCCCAAACAGTGTGTGTGAGGTCTAGAGGCGTAGCAGCAGAAAGTCTAGAGATATAGACGCATAGAGAGGGGATGATGGTGACAGTGAGTGGGTGAGTGAGTGAGTGGGTGAGTGAGTGAGTGGGTGAGTGGGTGAGTGGGTGAGTGAGTGAGTGGGTGAGTGGGTGAGTGAGTGTGAGTGTGAGTGTGAGTGTGAGTGAGTGTGAGAGTGAGGAATGGAGGAGGCTTCTAATGTGCCATGCGACGAGTCAGGTCATGCCTGGGAGATGTACAAGAATGGGACTCGCTGCCAGCCATGCCATAAGAGAATCAAAGCCTGCTCGACGCATGAAGAGTCACAGGAAGCACATGAGCGGTGTGTGGGCAGGCCTGAGACCATCCTGAAGGGGCTCCTTGATGAGATGATTGCAACATCTTAGGATGCTGAAGGAGGTCATGCCTGGCAGATGGGGCACACATGTCAACTGCAGCCGCTGCTGGTTGAAGCTGAGCAGGAGGTGCAGCAAAGAGGCATTGCTGGCCATCAAAGCAGGGCCTTGCCACTTTGCTGTGATGACTGAGGACTTCAAGCGCAAGAGTGCTCACGATGTCAGAAGCACACACCCAGTGCAGAGTGCAGAGGGCAGGAGGTTGGCATGCCTGGCGGTAGTTTGCAGCCCGCCTTCGTCCAAGAAGAAGCTGAGGGGCTTGGAGCAGTCCATGAGTGACTAATGCCACTTTTGGCCAATGGGCTGTGGCTTGTGAAGCAAATGTATTTAATATATAGATTCAGATATAAACTAGCAATAATAATAATCATAACAATAATAAATAAATAAATATATATATATATGTATGTTTGCCCCCCCCCGGGGTGCCGGACATGCTGGGCACCCTGGAGGGCGTCGCCAGCATCATTGAAAGCAAAAAGTAAAGAAAACAAGAGAGAGGCGAACGGGAAGGCGCGCAACAAACCTGAAGAGATCCAAAGACGAAGAGAGGCAGGACCTTAAGGTACGTCAAGCCCGAAACCCGGCCGACCCGGACCAAAGGAGCACCTGTGCCGACAAAGTTCCGGACGAGGAGGAAGTCGCGGAAGAAGAAGGCAAGCAAGCAGAAGACCGGACCGAAGTAGTTCGGCAACCGGGAGACAAGGGAAGGAAGAGAAAGCACGAGAAACTGAGAGGACACAAGGAAGAAAACCAAGGTCGGCACGAGATCCATTTCGATCTCTGAGCGAACTTGGGCCGCTATGGCCATGATCGCCCAGGGCTCCCCGAGAAGAGACACACTAGAGATGGGCGCGTTTACGGCTTGATTGCCCCGGGCCCCGACAAAACCTTGCCAAAAGAAACCCAAGAGCCTACAGTAGAGGTCAGTCAACGCAATGACGTCCAAGCTTGCTAAATTAAGGAGATTCAAGGAGTAAGGGATCTCCATGGGTCTTCGACTGTCTTCGTGCGTGGTGGGTTGCTCCGGTTGCCTTTTTTGCCGCTGTGCCGGGCTGGTCTCTAGTTGACTACGGCTGTCTCGTTTGTCTTCAACACTTGATTGCTTCGAAGCAGCGCAAAAGAGGTGTTGGCCGTTCAAGCCGCGCAGCTATTTCAATGGCTGATTTTCTTCCCCGGTTTGTTTCGTCCTGTTTGGGAAAGACGCTAGCATTGTATACCGTCTCCAGTTTCGCCTCTCCTTTTTTTCTCAATCGCTTCCGAAAACATTCCCAAACACTACCCACTATCGTTCCGAGGCAAATGCATCACACTTGCGTGCAGCATCGATCAAGCACCGGGAGGATTGCTTGGGACTGAGGCTGACTGTCACAACGCCATCGGGGCAGCGGCACTTGGTGCATCGCATGACCCCTGGAATCAATCCCCTGGGGCACCTGCAAGTTGGTCACGTGCACTCTTGTCAACCGCAATCCTCAACTCCAACTCACCATTCACCCTTGCCACCCCTGCGCCGCGCACAGGTCACTGGCCATGCCGTAAATCTCAGCGCGGGCCAGGCGCAATCTGCACAGCTCCCGAGCAAGCTCCAGGGGCAATTTGACAAGCTGTTGAGAGACATCAACTCCTGACCGCTGGCAGCCTGCTTTGTGGACCCTTCGAGTGGCATTCTGCTGATCCGTTGCCAGAAACCCCTCAAGCAGCTGAACAAGGAATTCAACAGCCGCTCTGTCTTCGCTCAGATTGAGGGCCTCGGGTGCTTATCGCGACAAATACCCGTGTCAGACCTGCCATTGGAGCAACTTTTGCTCCTCTTCGGTCGGGCCATGGTGGTATAGACAGTTTGCAGTTTCTACCTTTGATGGCGGCCATTGAAAGGCCCATGATCCAACAGCCATACATCCACAATGAAAGTTAATCGCACCAATCCAATGGCCTACGTGGCCCCGCAGGTTTCTTGCAGGTTGGGGTAGACTGCGGGACAGGCTTTCTGGCGATGGTTGTTATATAGTTATTATATATTAGTCTTCAAGATTGCAACGAAGACATGTCGCACCGCATTGTTGAACAGCGGTCACGAATGAGACAGGGCTGTGATTCAGCCGGCGTTCAGTTTGATCGCTGATTTTGTTGCTGTTGCGAGGGCATTGCGTCAAGAAGGGCAGCCTAGCAAGTCAGTCTATGCGCACCACCAGTGATGCATCTTTCGTTCAAATGGCTGCCGGTTGACTAAAAACAGGAACCAAGGTTGACATGGACACGGAACTAAATTGTTGAGTTGCATTTTGCAATCAAGTACCTTAGCCCCTCTTAGTTGGACAAATGTGTGCACTGTGTTCGTGGCAAGTAATGTTGCACATGCCGTCAATAATACAATGATTACGTCGTGCACCG